CAATTTTTTAAATAAAATATCCAAGGCACTTACCATTGACTTTTGTTGATATCTCTTATGGTTTTCGAATAAATCGGCTGGCACAATTATATCAATCACCCTATATATTTAATACGCAAGGCATATTTTTGTCATAATTTTTTTGGAGTGGTGGTGCTACCGATCCCCATGTCCAAGGTGTCGTTAGAAAGGTCTTAGCGTGTAGTTTTGCCATCAAACAAAAAAACTTTGGAATTCCATCAGGGCTCTGCCCCAGTGGTCTTCAAAGTTCCCATGTTATTCTTAGGGAGAAAATGTTTGTTTACATTTTTGAACAGACGAATACTTTGAAATTGACACTAATATTTGAAACAGATGGTTATACTAAAATTGGAGACATGTGCTATAAGGATTTATGAGATTAGTTGAAAGGATTGATGTTTCACTGCTTTAAGCCAGTTTTTATTTGCACAAAATCAAAACAACATAACAAAAAAACCTCTTTTAAAGTCATTAGAAGTTATGACTGTTATTTGTTTTAGAATATCGCCTTAACAATTGCTCGAATTCAAGCAACAGGTACACTAGTTATCTATTAATTTAGATGTTTTATATCTGACAACACTGATGTGTAGGAAAAGAAGGAAAGAATTATACGAGGTTTTTGTGCCAATACAAGAATATAACACAATATTATTACATTACATTATTATTATTACAAGATCTATTGCATGTAATTTTGCCTAAAGATCAATAAATGTCTTATGTCTTATTATTATTAAAACCTTTTACGGTACATTGAAAATATATAAGTATTAGGCCTATAATTGTAGTTTTCTTGCGTCTCTTCTACGTATTTACTCTATGATTTATTATTTGTTAAATACCTAAAATTTAAATCCTATTTACAATTTTATTTAGTTACAGCTTCCATGTAAGCTATTGTTTTATCAATTATTAGAATGATGACGTTTACTATACAAAGTAAAAATTAACAAAAGCAATAACTAAAATATTATTTTATTCAAGAAAGGATTGACATTTTTCTACGGTTACAGTGGCTATTATTTTTGTCTTTCTTTACTTTCGTGTAGTTATTTTAATAAAATATAGCTCATTCTCAAAATAATTTTTGACACTATTTCCTTCCAAATTTACTCCGCAAATACAAACAGTTTGAGCTACTTCTGAAATATCGATATCTGACATTAAAACCACTGTCACTAAAAACCAGCCAACATAGAAGAACAACTGCACTCTAATTATACATTGTCGCTAATTTTAGTTATTCGCTAATTCCACCTAATTCTATCAAGATGGTGGTCGCCACGCCACTATTGGTTGATGAGCGCTAAGCTACAAGTTCCGCTAGCTCCGCCTTCCGATTGTCTATTGCAAGTATATTATCAATGGATTAGTTATTAATGGTAGCGCAATAAAAGAATGAATGAAGTAATATTTTTATTTCTCCTAATACTACATTATAACGTGTAAATAAACCACATACTTAAAATTCATAAAACTACACCAAAATTATTAAAACTAAAAGGAAAAGGGCATTTCTGTTTTAGGCTACCGTATTTAATTATGAAGACATTAATTCGTGCAGTGTGCACCGTGTACGTGTAAACTTGTTGGTTGGATTGTAGTAAATAGTTAACCTGTCTTCAAAATGCATTCAATGCTGTGCTGTTGGCTGTAATAATCCTTATATATAATACGTGAAGGCGATTTCTACAAAACACTACTCCTCCATTAATAATGGACGGATTTTTACAAACGACGTGTCAAAATAAATTATTTGTTGTGTAGACGCCCCCTTTCACCAATTCATGTAATAAAAATCCTCGGGCTTTGCACCACAGGCCATCAAAGTTGGAGTTTCTCCCATAAGATTAACATGGGGGAATCTAAATATTTAATTGGAAACTTTGTCCCCACTAATTTGAAACAACGGCTGGGCGTAGAAACTTGGTAGGGGTGTCCAAAGAAAGGTCTTGGTCTGTAGATGAGTTATCAAAAGATAAACTAAGCAAAAGCCCTTAGGACTCTGCCCCTAGAAGCCTTTAAAGATCCCTCCACAGAGTTGTTTACATTTTGGCAATGAGGATAATACTTTTTAATGAAACAGCTGTTCATTTTTCAATTGTATTTCAAACCACACATATTTATTGGGAGTTACTTAATTCTACCAAATAAGTATTTGCAATGTTATTTTCAGATTTTAAAATAGTTTTTCTTCTCTATCATGTCATGTTTTGCAATATAACGTTCCATCACGAAATCAGTGGAAAATCCTTTTATCACAGCAATTCTTAAATTATTTCTTATTGAACTATCTTATATCTATTGTACGGGTTGGTGTCTGCCCTTTTCACCACTTTTTCCTACATTTTATCCTATTATTCTACACATATCAAATATTTATGTAGAAATATCTGATCTTATCGTGTCTAATAAAATCCAAACATAGAAACCTTGCCTGAAATGGTACCCATCTTGACAAATTATTTGCACCTGCCTATATTACGGACTTTGGCGCACTGGTTTGGTAACATTATTGAAAAAAACACAACATTTTGGCTGTAAAATATGGTAGAAAGAGAAAATATTATTTTTGCAGCTACTGTCATCACAGAAATGTCATATTCCTTTTAAACTAGATGACATAATCCTTTATAAGATACGTTGATTAACAATATGTAAACGTCAATATATGTAACAGCCAATTTACAGTATTTCTGCTTTTTGGAAATGTCCCATTGCTATGTCATTTGCATTATTTGTTGCCAATGAAGCCGCCAAGACCATACGAACTAGGAGGCCCCTAACAGTTCAAGAATAAAAGCCAACTTCACTTTAAGTATTCCACTACACATAACATTCCGTAGAGAGATTATATTGACAGCTTTACGTTATTGATAAGGCTGAGACAACTAACTGACATCCCCCATGTCAAGGAATTCCAGCTTTAACAGTAACCCCACAATCAATTTCTCAAAACTATGCTAGAGGGTTCACATAAGTACTCATGAACTGACGCGTCGTGACTAAGGAAAAATCAAACTTACACTGTAACGGATATACCTCACCTCACCTTCCTTTGAAATTAGAATATGTCTTCCCAAAAAATATTTTCTTTTCAAATGGAATCATATTACACTGATGAAATCACGGAAGTGTTTAACTACAAAAGATCCACTAATACGATTTTAATACTATTTAAAGGTTCTCCCAAAGGAAGAGATACCATATAACATACTAATAATAACTCCGATGACGTACAGTATAGGAAATATTTTAATCATTGAATGATCAACCAAATTTGGCAACTAACGCAATTAATATCATTATTGTTTTTACACTAATTACTCTTTAAACACAATGCTAAATGCTTAAAATATGTATATTTCACCCAATTTATTGCAGTTAGATGAATTGACGTGAGCCTTGAAAGTAACCGTCGATTTCGACGGGTTTCACCTAGTATTACTTATTACGGGAAAATATAAGGAACACAGGAAGAGCTTTCAGTTATAACTTCTGTAGTGGTTGGGAATGTGTGTATATTAAAGCAATGTTTCATACAAAAGTAATATTCTTTAGGATAACTAAAAGGCATATCAACTTGCTTGAAATAATTCTGTTGGCATAAAAACTGAGATTTGGTCGCTCTGTTCAACCCAAAGTTTTTACAAAACTAAGCATGATAGAAAGAAAAGTTAAATACAAACAGTAAAGTATATTTAATTGTCTACAACTTTCTCACAGACGAAACTTCTCTGACCAACAAACAACAATTTTAGTAGGCGACCAACTTTTTCACTTTACTTTTCCAAACTTTTTCTAATGTGTTAATTTTAAAAATATTTATAAATACTACCAAATGAAATTTTAATTTTCAAAACCATACCATTGGCATGAAGAGTTTATTCCCTAGCTCTGTACCAAATTTCAAAATTTTATCTCAATTGTAAGAGTGTAAAAATGCAGTATATTTAAACCGCGACCACTAGTTCCGTACTACCATAATGGTGAAATGGTTGGGAGTTACTGCTCAGTGCGACGTTGCCAATTCTCGCTGGCCGCGTCCTGTAGTTAAAGGAGGCCAAGCTAGCGGCCATCTTGGATAATTTTAAACAGCTGCTGAAGAGTTATTTATCATCCAAAAATAGTTTTTCAAAAATAGAAGTGATTATAATGTAAATATCTAGTATACTATGAGATTAGAAATGTTTTTGTTGTCTTGAATGTATTTCCAAGGGAGTCCATGGAAGCCAACGGCCATCTTGGATTTGCCTACCATAAGAGCAATGTTAATTTAGCTATTTTTAAACAGCCGCTGAAGAGTTATTTACCACCTCAAAATATTTTTTCAAATACCAAAGTGATTGTAATTTAAATATCTAGTATACTGTGAGATTAGAATTTTGCTTTGTAGTTTTTTTATTGTTTTATGAGTTAGAACGTCTAGGCTCCAAGGACTCTTAACGAATTTTGCTAAATTCTTGACTTGGAAAGAGACGAGTATCTAAGTTAAGTCCTGGATCTATAGATCCTTCACTCTGAAAGTCAAATTTTTAACTTCAGAGTCTAAACAGCCAAATAAACTCCAGAGTATGAGTTCTGGACTTTGCTAACGCCCTGACTCGGAAAGTCATTTTGTGGACTCAAGTCTAGAAATTAGCTAAATCCCGAGCTCGGAAACCTACCCTGAAAGTGTTTAAGACGGCATTTCGTTAAGGCCAGAACCAAGTAACTTCTTTAAAATAACTTGCAATGATAGGGTACAATTGCATTGTAAAGTGGTGTTTAAACAATTATGATATAAGCCTGAAATAAGTTTTTTTTTAAAGGTAGTAAGAAAGTAACTTTGGGGCGGAAAATTTATTGGGCCTAGGGGTGCCAAAATGCTAAATCCAGCCCTGGCATTAATTTATCTTCTTCTTTAAAGTATTTTTAAATTTAATGCTGCCAGATTGTTCCAACATATTTTACCTTGGATCATTGATCTATTTCAGATATCAGCTCCTCAGGAAAGACTTTATTCTACATGGATTGGAGGTTCCATTCTTGCCTCTCTGGACACATTCAAGAGGATGTGGGTCTCCAAGAGAGAGTTTGATGAAGAAGGTCGCCGAGCTATTCATCGGAAAACCTTCTGAACATTCTTGATCAATACGCTTGTAAATGCACTAAAAAATTTGGTTAAAATATCAAAGCCACAAATGTTTTGCTTATAAGATACGAAGCTTATTTATTTTATTTATATATTATTGTTGATTATTATTTATACACCAGTCTAACCGTTATAAAAATTTTAACTCGTCTTGATTTACTAATAATTAATGTCATCCTTGTTAATGGAAATAAATAATCACAGTTTAAAGTCATGTTCATGCTCCCATCTGTGTTAAAATGTGTACACTCATGCTTACTGCCAGCATGTATAGTAACTATAACAGAGTGTTTGCTCAAGCAACAAGCTTACTGTCATCAGGTTGCTAGCATCAGCAGCAAATGTGTGAATATGTTTTCAGCTGCAGTCTTGTGCGTTTACTATACTTGTGGCCAGCTGAGGATTAGGTGTCTGTTTGAACATTTCACACTAAAAAATCTGCGTCATTTTTATTTCTGTCTTCCATGATTAGTTTGCAGGTGTTTGAAATATTTTAGTTGTTTTCATTGTTTCAATACATTTTAACCGTAATGTTTTGTACATCAAGAGCCAATGACCAAACAAGTGACACCATCTTCATTCATAAAAAAACTTTCATGCCAAACCAAACCAGTTTGCTGAAATTCTTTCTGAAATAATCAGTCCTGTTTAGTTTAGCACATACTATACAGTGTAACTCCCCAAAAACCTGAATTTGGTTCTTGATAGTTCTGACAGTTATTGCCAAAACTTCAAGTACCATATTACGAGGGTTGTTCCAAAAGTAAGTTACACTCTTTTAAAAAGGTAATAAAAAACTCCAGAAAAACTTTGTAAAGGATATATTTTTAAAGATATACTCAAAACCTATTTTTCTACATAGTTGCCTTGCATTTTTGGTACCTTGGCAAAAGTTTTTTTAAACCAGCTTCATACCAATCTGCCGCCATACTGTTTAGCCAACTTTCAACTTCTTGCTTTAGATCTTCGTTGTTTGCAGAGCGTTTTCCCCCAAGGTGTTGCTTCAGCTGTGGAAAGAGATGATAGTCGCTTGGTGCGAGGTCAGGGGAATAAGGCGGATGTCCAAAAACATCCCACCGAAACTCTTCAAGCAGGTCTTGTGTTTGTCTGGCAGAATGTGGGCGAGCGTTGTCGTGGAACAAAAAAACTTTTTTTGTCAACTTCCTTATTCTTTTGTTCTGTATTGCCCTTCGTAGGTTTTTTAACACCTCACAATAACATTCTGCGGTAATCGTGGTCCCATGAGGCAGGTAGTCAATCAGTAACACGCCCTTTGAATCCCTAAAGACGGTTGCCATAACTTTTCCTGCAGATTGCACGACTTTTGCTTTTTTTGGTGCAGCCTCATCTTTTGCTTTCCACACCATACTCTGTTTTTTTTTTTTTGTTTCGGGAGTCCAATGATGAATCCATGTTTCATCTCCGGTCACTATTCGGTCAAATAAACCATCCCCTTCATCATCGAAAAATTGCTGAAATTGCAATGCTGCATCAACTCTCTGCTCCTTGTGTTGTTCTGTGAGCAAGCGTGGAACCCATCTTGCACAGACTTTTGAGAGGCTTAGATCTTCAGTAATTATTTGATGAAGTGAAGTACGGCTTATTTCAACATTTGGAGGCAGTTCAGTAAGGATGTCATCAAGTGTAAGGCGGCGATCAGTGACAATGACCCTTCAGACGTCTTCGGCAATGCTCGCAACTCGGGAAGTTGAAGGTCGGCTACTTCTTTGTTCATCATGTGTCGTTGTCCGTCCATCAATGAATGATTGGCGCCAACGATGAACCATAGGCCTAGACATAACGTCATCACCGTACACACTACAAAGTTCGCGATGAATCTCAGTCGCATTTTTACTTTTAGTGGTCAAAAAACGAATGACAGCACGTACTTAACAATCGGCGGCAGGAACCAGTGGTAACTCCATGACGGCTAGCGCCTGACTGGTGTAGCGAGCCACGCCCAGCCTTGGGCACGTTGCAGTGCTGCCACAACACCCAGACGCTAATTCCCTGCTACTCCCAGACTTCTCCCTCATACCGCACGGATTTTATAGAAAAGTGTAACTTACTTTTGGAACGACCCTCGTATGTCAGTAAGTTTTACTTCTCTATTGTAAAACATTTTTAAAGGAATCATCCACTGTTTGAAGCTATCCATTGGTATAGTATGTTTATTGTTTGAACATGTTGTCACTTATTTTTATAGAAGCTTTAATTCAAAATACTAACTTAGGTGAGTTAAGAGTTAACAATTTTCAACCAATACTTGGAGAATTTTAGATAATTTTCTATGGCATCTGTTTGCTCGGATTTTGTGTTATCTAGATCATCCATTCCATTATTTAGTTAGACCTGATAGTGTATAAATTTTAGGAAATAATGAATTTGAATTGTTTTAGTGTAAAACTTTTGTCTATGTTCTTGTTATAACAGTTTTAAATAATATGTGATCTTTTATTTGAGAAAATAAAACCTGCTTATTGAGTTTGTTGATATTTTGTGCTTGTGTTGATTAATCATATTAATTTTAAAATGTTCTTTAAACAAGTGTAGGCATACTTTAAAATACTACATTACATAGTATGAACATTGGAATGTGTGATGTGAAGTTATACAGGGTGAAGCAGACCACCCGTTCACATATGTACTTTTACGGGAGTACGTTTTCACCTAGAAAAGTGAAATAAAATTATTCCCCCATAAATCACATATGAAGAATCCATTTTAAATAATTAGAAAATTATCTAAGCATAGGGTGTTCCAGAAATGAAGGTCACAGGTTCGAATCTCAAAATTTCCTTATGTTAACATATATCATACTGTAAATTTTTAGAAAGGTCTTGCTTAGAGAAACATTTTGGTGGAAACAGAACTTAATTATCTGAATTCATTTAAAAATGGTGGCCACTTTTGTGAATTTTTTACGTATTTGATGTAATACCCTGTTTTTTGAAATCGCTAAAAAATTTTCCATTCTGTTGAAAATACGTAATCCTGGTAAACCCAGCTTTACAATAATGTGTCAATTGTAAATAATCCCAAATAAAATGCATGTTATTTGCATTACCAAACAATACCATATTTTTTTTTTTTGGGGGGGGCTTATGAAAGTGTTTCATAAACTGTACAATCCAACTGTAGTTAGATATTAAACTAGAGGAAATTTAAAAAAACGCTAAAAAGGCAAAGCCCTAGGACAGGACCTTTTTGGTTATCATTCGTGACTCCGCAAAATCATAAGCTTTACGACACTTCAATTGTAAAAATTGTTTGAGTGGGATGGCTGATGTGACGTGAAAAAGCACTGAAAAAGGGATGTAACAGAAAAAAACTCTTATTGTATTAAATATAAGGTAAATTAAAACATTCAGTATAAATATGAGAGTTTTCTACAAACAAGTTTCTCTTGCATAGAACTAAAAAACGATTCCATTGTGTAGCTCATGACCTCAGACCAGTTATGAAATGGTCTAAAGTGGTTTGGGTGTTCCTCAAGTAATGTTTTTAATTTTTTAAATGTATGAGCTTGTTTGTGTTGTCCTTACAATATATTAACCTTATTCGAAATATTTTTCATCTCTACATGATTGAAAATCCTCATCAGTCATCTTGTTTACATTAAATATATATCTTAGTTAGCTGACAATGTTAAAATCGTTTGCTGAGGTATGATTTTATCAATTGTTGTGTTTTTTTGTTTGAAATGCGTTTTATTCTTGATTGTATGGATTTCTGAAACTGTAAAAACCTCACAATTGCACAGTCTTAATGTTTGTTTAGTTATTAATTATTTATGATTATGGATTTATATTGGTTGTGTACATAAGTATAAGATTATGGAAAAAATAGAATTTTGTATTTAAAATAATGTAACATTATTTATTAGTAGTTTTCTTTCTCCACAATCACCCTAACTTTGGTTCTCTTATACATTATTGGACAAGCGTGGCTGTGATTTGTACAGGACATAATACAATATACTCACTAGGCTGCGACCTAGTGAGAAGGCAGCTAGCCTAAGGATTATATTGTGAGGGCATTTCAAGCAGAACGTGTCACAACACGCACTATTGTTCAAACGTTCCTCTAAATTATAAAAAACTATGATATTTAAAATTTTAAACTTATAAAAAAGAACTTAATGGGATGAAACTTAAATCGCATGAGTTATAAAACCATACTGTTTAAAATATTTTAGTTTATGCAGTTAAGGAGTTGCATCACAAGAATAGGAAGAAGACGGATAAGGGGTTTTCGGGTTGTAAACAAAACTTACAGAGAGAAAAATGTAGTTAACAACTAAAAGTTTGTTATGCATTATTTTATTTGACTTTGGGTTTAAATCTAATAATCAACAAGCCTAAATTTTAATTCAATCAATTTAATTGACTCATTTACATAGTAAGCTTGCCGCCAATTACCTGTTTCACTTCAGAGAGCAGCTTTGACCAGCATTAAGTTTAGAGTTAAGAATATTATGCGCTATCTGGTTGCGACAAGGATGCGTCATTGGATCACGGAACGTCACAACAATGGGATCGTCCATGGACATTATAACAGAAACGGTATGGATCAAAAACATGAAAGAATGACATCACTTGATGGAATCTAATATTAGTAATCCCCATGGTGGAAGGAAAAAACATAGGTGTGCTATTCCCACATATTCTGACGTCACTCGGATTGCAAACAAAAGATCACCTGATTGTAACTGTCAAATTAGTATGTATTTGTTTTGATTTGTTATTGGTTTTATTATTATAATTTATTACAGTAGATTCCCTCTCATACGGACACCTTTTAACCGGACTACAGTCGACGGAAATGACATCTCTTTAACCGGAGAATTATTATCGGCACATTGGTTTAACCGGACTAGATCGGCAGGAAGTGGGCGGTACTGTGGGAAAGATTTGAGACCAGTGATCACATGTCTAAATACAATGCTCTCCTAAATTTAAGTAGAATATCACCGTAAATGGTCCATTTTAATGAGTTTTTGGGGACGTCGGCTTAACCGGAAAAACCGTTATCCGGACTGGCCTCGGTCCCGAAGAGTCCGGATAAGTAACAGTCTACTGTATTATAAAAACAATAACAATCAAATCAAAACAAACGCATATACTAATTTCACTCGGATTGCATGGAGTATTATTATAAAAAACTCTGAGTGTATTATTATTTATTATTATAAAAACAATAACAATCAAATCAAAACAAATACATATACTAATTTGACAGTTACAATCAGCAATCAGGTGATCTTTTGTTTGCAATCAGAGTGACGTCAGAATATGATGGGAATAGCACACCTATGTTTTTTCCTTCCACCATGAGTAATCCCTCCATGTGTTGTTTAGGACGCCTTTTAACAGTTGCATTAGAGTGAAAATTTAAAAACGTACGTTTTCATGTCCCTGGCCTTTTACTTCGTAGATACTGGATTTGTAGTTTATTATTATGTGTTTTAATATTTTTTGGGACGGGGGCAACATGTTACACACATTTATTTGGTTTTAAATAGGTTCTAGGTATTTTTTTCGTATTTTTAAAGTCTCAAAATTCACGACCATGACGTATCCCTAGGGTACATTTTCCAACTTTCACGCTGTTTTTAGACTAATTATTCATGCCGAAATATATAAAGCCATATTTTTATGTCATCAATGGTTATTAAACTTACAAAAAAGGAGCATATTATAATTTTATTGTCATTGCATACTGACTACCATGACAAAATAAGTCTGTCCCTCGATTTGGCGTCACGACCATTTGGGAAAAATTTTCAACTTTGGAGCACGACAGTGGCAAGCCTGGCGTCAATGGAGTCAGTTGGTTTGAGAGACTAGTTCGGGGTGTACGTGAGGATTGTAGTGCCGGTCGTTTCGAGTTGAAAGGAGGAATTACAAGATTAATAAAGGAAAGATTGTGTTTTTGTAATTTTGGTGTGTCTATGACCGTACGTAGTCATTCGATGAAGTAGACATGGTGTTAATTTTTGTTTATAAGATATTTCAATTGCTAGATTAACCTAGAAGTCCACTTTGTATCCTCGAACATGAGGTGCAGGGCTACCGCCAGATCAGAGCCAAATAACACGTAATTTCACGACCATCGCAGGTTTTTCACGACCAATCTAGCCTTATGGATTATAGTGTGTTTGGTCGTGACAATAACTTTAATATAATTGTAAATTGAACAGTTTAGTTAAATGTAAACACATATTTTTATTATAACTAACAGTATAATTGAAGGATTGCTTAGAAAGATTTAAATTATTCCAGACAATTCACGACCGTACCGCTTGTCCCTGACCATCACGTTTATGATTTCTATCATAACAATTTCAAAAATTAAAATATCGTCATATTTCAATGTTTTATACACAAAAGAAGCACACCTCTATACAAACATAAAGATTTTTTGGGTCTCAGATAAGTTTTTTCGTAGCTATACAAACTTAAAATGATTTTATTGGCTTTTTTCAATTTTTTGAGTTTTTATTTTTTTCTGGAAAGACCAAATATACCAAAAGCTTAGTGACCTTTTTATTGTATAATGACATAAAAGTAAATTAGTTTATAGCAAAACATAGTTATAAAAATAATATTAACCATTTTTAATATTCATTTAAACGTCCGTTATGGTCGTGACAGGATTTTGTGTTTTTCCACTAAAGATGCTCTTTTAAAAAATAACTACCAAAGATATTGCGTTACCATGGACATTTTATGAAACTTCAAATGTTAATGAAATAAAAATAATAATAAAAGTTTTGAAAAAAGGAGAAAAATTTGCAAAGTGCTTTTCCTGAAAACGTACGTTTTTAAATTTTCACTCATTAATATAATATTACACACATATTTATTTTCAGGTAATTTGTTTGTTTATGATCTATATCATTTCCATTTTATAATCCGTGGGATCGTCAAATAATGCGCCCATTCCGGTGGTGCATCGTCAAAAACTACAGAGTGTCCTTGGGCTTTCCTCAATACCCTTTAATCAGCATTAGTGTATGTATAATCTATTGCGGTAAAATATTCTATGATTTTGAACAGTCGTAATTACTTATCTAGATGTTAAATACTTTGTTGCCAACGTAATCCTTAGTAGACTTAATGGCTACCGGTTTCGACACACTTTATGGCGTCATTGTCAAGCCTAGACGTGGTTTTCGCTCCTAGGAGGTCGTCATAAAGTCTTCAAACACATAACTAAACAAAAAATAACAAAAACGAACACAAACAATCATTTTAACGAACGAATAATACTGTATGGCCATACAACTCTCGGCGCGGCTGCATGTTCAGGGTGTAGTTCTAGACTGAACGTCGCCGTGTCCTTCCCCTCCCCTCCTATCCTTCGTATTGTTGTTATCAGTGACATTGTCTTCTAATCAGTTTTGTATGAAGGAGGCTGCTTCGTAGATAATGTTCGACCACGTCTAGGCTTGACAATGACACCATAAAGTCTACCAAGGATTACGTTGGTAACAAGGTTTTAACCTCTAGATTAGTAATTGTTAAGTAATCCGGAAGGCAACACTTTAGAAATAAAGTCGTAACTATCCCATCTACTTATATATAATTCAGTTTTAAAAATCTTTGTATAACTAAATCTAGAGTTCTACTGCACCAATAACACATTTAAAACACCTTTTTTCCAAGTTTATATTTGTAGCCAACTTTAGGCTGGCTTTATTGAGTATTTTCAAGAAATACATAATAGTAATCTGTAGGAAATTTTATTCTCTATCATAATATCAAACTTTGTACAATTAAATCTACAGGGTGAACTGATTTTATTAATTAATAGGTCATTGGAAAGCATAATTTGTGTAGATTTGCAAATAATTATGAAAGTTTGATTTTTTACAGATTAATAGGTGAAACCCGTCAAAGTCGACAGTTTTACTGTTGAGGTTGCAACTTGCAAGCAATATCGTTTGACTATAAATCGATGATAAATACATTTTTTTTACAATTTGGGTTGTTCGTGATTTAGCAGTGTGCTTTAAGCTTTAGGTACGTCCGATCTTAGTAATCAATCAATCAAATGGAAGCTGGTATTACACTGAAGGTTCTTAGGTCTTAAAAACAAATAGAATAACGTAATTAGAATTGAGTAAATATATCTAAAACTAAATTCCATATCAAAGATATAATAAAATTTATGTTTTATGATTGAGCGATACAGTATCTTGAATTTAACTGATTAAAACTATCAATATCTCAAGTGAAAGCCTTTTTAAAGTATTTTAAGACCAAGACATATAAAATAACTTAAATAAAAATAGAGTTACGTATCGTTGATTGCAGATAAGTACTAAAACAATTGTAATTATTGTTGATTGACTCAGCAGTGTGCTTTAGATAGTCCGATCCTAATACCTAATCGATAGCTCAAATGAAAGCTGGTAATTCACTTAAGGTTTTTAGACCAAAACATATCTAGGGTAATGTAATTAGAAACTGCTGGGATACATCTTTAATTGAAGTAAAAAATCAAAAAATCAAATATATATATATTTTTTATATTTTTTCATCGAGTAATACACAAGATAAATTAATGATGATGCTTGATAACAAATATGTGCTTGCATAGCTTTATTTTAAGACCAAAATTATAAGAATCAGGGGGTTAGAAGAGCCAAACGAATTTGAATAAACCTAATTTAACTCCTATAAGAAATGTACAGGGAGGCAGTTTGTGCACAACTCAAAATATACGTCAAAATTAATGCCGATGCTTGATGGCAAATCTGTGGTGCGTCCATACCTTGAGTTTAAGGCCAAAATTAAGAAAATCGGTCCGGTAGAAGAGCTAACGGCCGACTCGGAAAAGAAAGACCAATAATGTTTATAGATGACAATAA